TAGAGAGATAGAGAGATAGAGAGAGAGAGAGAGAGAAGAGAGAGAAAGACAGCGAGAGAGACAGTCTGTGAGAATGATAGACTGTGAGGGAGACAGACAGTAAGTAATACAGAGATCATGTGATCACGTGTGCGAGTACATAGAGGGCCACTCACCTGGCTGTGGCTCTCGCTCTCAGGGCCGGCCTCGTCCCCGCTCTCACCTTCGCCCGCAATACGTCTGATGAGCTCAAGCAGAACATCATGCTGAAGCACGCAAGCATCGTACCACGTTACAGCACATTACAACACGTTACAGCACATTACAACACGTTACGGGACATTACAACACGTTACAGCACATTACAACACGTTACAGCACATTACAACACGTTACAGCACATTACAACACGTTACGGGACATTACAACACGTTACGGGACATTACGGTACCTGTTACATTAAGCTGTGCAGCATATTACATCACGTTATTACATTATGTCACAGCACATTACAGCGGATTCCAATGCATTTCAGTACATCATACCATTGCATTTTATAACAGATTGCAACACGTAACAATACTAACAGCACTGTCGCTACAGAATGTTACACAATATTTTATCAGGTTACACCATATGACACTAGCACACCACACTGGGCCATCCTTAAAAAATTATATGTTTGCTGTCCTCCGACCGACCCCCGAAAATAGCCGCTACACCAAATTTTTTTTTGATATTTTGGGTTCCATTTTTGTTTTTTGTTTATTTTGTCTATATAAATATAAATATAAATATAACTCTTCTACTGGTATTCTGGAAGGAGCATATATACATTCCTCATAGTCAAAACTGAAACACAAAGCATGTGTGGCAAAAATGAGGACAGACTTAAAATAACTATTATGCCTCACACACACAAAAAGACCTACCTACCTACCCACTAAAAAAATCATGGGTCGGGGGACAGAAAACAGTTTTTTAAGGATGGCCCTGCCTCTATATACATCCTTGGTAATGAACAGCAAACATGTAATGATACCCATGTAGTAGTATGGCAAGTAAGTAGCATATCTCAGGAGGAACAAGACACCCATAGCCATGGCTAACGAGCAGGTAACTCAACTGAGCAGGGTCAAGAGTGTGGGCAAGTAATAACGAGCAGGTACCTTACCTGACCATGGTCAGGTGTGCGGGTCAGTGATAACGAGCAAGTAATAACGAGGTATGATCTTACCTGAGCATGGTCAGGTGTGCGGGTCAGTAATAACGAGCAGGTAATAACGAGGTATGATCTTACATGAGCATGGTCAGGTGTGCGGGTCAGTAATAACGAGCAGGTAATAACGAGGTATGATCTTACATGAGCATGGTCAGGTGTGCGGGTCAGTAATAACGAGCAGGTAATAACGAAGTATGATCTTACATGAGCATGGTCAGGTGTGCGGGTCAGTAATAACGAACAGGTAATAACGAGGTATGATCTTACATGAGTATGGTCAGGTGTGCGGGTCAGTGATAACGAGCAGGTAATAACGAGGTATGATCTTACATGAGCATGGTCAGGTGTGCGGGTCAGTGATAACGAACAGGTAATAACGAGGTATGATCTTACCTGAGCAGGGTCAGGAGAGCGGGTAATGACGTCATCGATAGAGAGAGTCTGCACGCTTGCTCCTGCTGCAGAGGTAGCTTCGTGGATGCTGCGGACCCTTCGATCGCGCAGGCTCTCTCACCAGATGACGCCGCTGGCTGCGACGGGAGCTCGAGCCGGTGACGCAGCTCGGCGTTCTCTTGTTTCAGTTTGAGCGCGTTCAGCCGGAACGTGACGTTTTCTGATTTCAACGCCTTGTTCTGCGAATGAGATGGAACGGTTACTATGGCTATACTAATTAAATGTATGTATGTATGTATGTATGTATGTATGTATGTATGTATGTACGTCCGTACGTCCGTACGTCCGTACGTATGTACGTATGTACGTATGTATGTATATCAGTATATATATATATATAAATTATAATTATAAAAGAATAGTATAAGGTGTTAATTTTTTATATAAAAAATTAACACCTTATTCTGATGGACAAGAAAATCAAACATCCGTTGGTAGTGCAAGATGACAGATGTTGCGGTTACCGCGGGAACACAATCTCGGAACCAGCTAGAATCTACCGTCTATCGGTAACGTTTTATCATCTCTCGGCGTTTGCCGAACCGATACGAACTAACTACGACGACACAAAGTGCACGCGTCATCACAAACATACATGGCTCTAAAGATTTTTCCCTGTGACCTGATGCAAGTTCAGGCAGAGAAATGAAACGGAGTAGTCCTGATCACAGAATGTTTGAGTGCGTGATGCAATTTGTAGCGACGGAATATAATGCCAGTGAGTTTATTGGCGACAGACCGAGTTATGCCGAGGGGTACCGCGCGAAGAGACTGCGGGCAACAATATCCGTGTGTGTGTAATATCCACCCGCACAGCATCCAACTGCAATAGGCGAGGACGCAGGTGAACTAGGTTAATGGAAATTCAGGACCACGGTCACTGTGCCATGTGGACCATTGTCACCCTGCCACGTGACACCTTATTTCGCCTGCGTCCTCGCATATTTCAGTTGGATGTTATGCGTGTGGATATTAATAAGATGCCCCTCTCACATTTCTGTATACGCATGCACACGACTATTAGTATTAATTGCTCGAAGGGTCTTCTCGTTATGGGCTTTCATCCTATCTCACTCTGTCGCCTATTAACTTTCCACTAGCATTATTTTACGTCGCTACAGCATCGGCCGAGCATGCACGAACCTGCGCTTGCAACGCCGTGAGTGCGTCTTCGAGTGTGTCCATCCTTTCCTTCTTGCGATCTCTCGCAGTCTGGGCCGCCTCACGATTCTTCATCTTCCTATTACGATGAAGACGTACGAAACCCGATTAGAAGGAACATTGCTTTGATGAATCGCTAACTTGATGATTGGCGGCACTACAGAGAAACGATGACCGTATGTATGTATATATAAATGTATACTATATCTTATAACATGTAAATAAAACAAACAACACAAATAAATTAGAATGCCACCCATTGGACCATCTAGAAGGGGGTTGTGGGGGTTTCAAATCCCCACCCCCCACCCCACCCTGTTCAACCACTGGCTAATGTTATCAGGAAAGAATAATAATAGATTATTAATATTAATCTATTATTAGATTATTAATAGATTATTAATATTAATCTATTATTATTCACTCCTGATGTTATGATACTAGTAAAATGGGGCCACCTAGTACGGCTTTTGCCTTCAGCACGCCTTAATTAAATTCCCTCAAATATCAACCCCCCCCCCCCGTCTCTCGAAAGCTAGTTCCGGCCTAGCTCTAGTAACTATAGCCCGCGTACAGTTGCCGCAGGCACTGTACACCTGCGGCAACTGTACGCGAGCTATAGTTACTAGAGCTAGTTCCGGCCTAACCCGACCAGGCTGTGTGACTAACGTCAATACACCGTGTAACTGTGTGACTAACGTCAATGCTAGGGTATTCTAACCCTAGCAATACCGTTTCTTGGAGCTAGTTCCGGCCCTGCCCCTGTAAATATATTAGTCCAAGTGAATATGTCGAAGATGGAGAGAGACAAAGTTTACATAACAGACAGGCCAACACTGCAGATTGCAATAGAACAAGCCCAAATTTTACAATTAACCAATGAAGAAGAACCGAAGAACGAACATTCTTTCAATGGCTATAGCTAATATAGTAATATAATAATGATATTAATATAACATGCATATGATACTGGAATTACAAAAAGGCAGTGGCTACGGGTACGCCAGGCGTATCTTAATGTCTCGAGGCTACGGGTACGCCAGTCCATTCGCTTTCATACTTAACGAGACAAAGATGGCGGCGGTCGCGCCAGATTTCGAAATAACGCCTTGGGAAATAAAT